TGGAAGGAATGCCCTGGTATGTCTCAGACCACTTGCTTTTTTACTAATGTGGTGAAAGTCTCAATGTTCATAGAGTTCATCTGTCTTCTCTGGAGTGCACGTGCCTTACCAAGTCCTGCAGTGTAGTTGCCACTTCCGACTCATCATTGTGCTTAGCACAATGTCATCAATGTAGTAGACCAGTGTGTTGTTCTGTGGAATATGATAATATATTACAACAGTGGGCAGAAGAGTTAACATTGCTCTGGGGCAAGATACTAAAAGGTGTACTGTTGGCTGTTATAAATAAAATGAACTTTCTGATAGGGCTGGAAAGGAATGCACTTGCCAAGTCAATGGCTGAATAACATATGGACTGAGGCAATGTTAAATTGCTCTGCACAATATACAACATCTGGTACAGTAGGAATAATTGGGGATGCTGATTTATTGAATCTGACCCACTGTCTCATCCTACAGGATCTGCCTAGTTTTAGCTGGGGTCAGTTTGGTGAAATAAGATGTAAATAAATGACTCCAAAGGAAAAAATATCTGTAAGTCTCAACAGAAGTCTCCAACTTCCAAAGAACGTTTACTATTAAAAACACTTGAACTTAGGCCACCAGTAATTTTTATCCAAGAAGTCATGACCATGCAGAAACAAGAAAATATTTTCCCTATAGTATCTTCCCTAAAATAAGCGCCAGTAATCCTAGACTTCTGATATTCAAGCACCTGTATACTCCTCTCACCCCTTGAGTGTGGCTACACTAAGTGATTTGCTCTAATGGATAAAATATGGCAGAAATGATAGGATATCCCATATAAGGTTAGTTTGCAAAAAGTCTGTCTTCCATCTTGAGCTCCTTCTCTTTCTCAATCTGAGGGAATCAAGTTGCCATGTTGGAAGCTGCCCTGTGGGGAGGTGGACATGGCCAGGAACTGACATCTCCAGCCAGTAGCTGTCAAGGATCTGGAGCCTGCCTGCAGCCATGTGAATGGGCTTGGAGGTGGATCCTCTACCAGCAGAACCCTGGCTGACACCTCGATTGCAGCCTTATGATGGACTCTGAGCCAGAGATGTCCAGCTAAGCTGTGCTCAGATTTCTGACCTACAGAAACTGTGAAACAGTGTTTGTTGTTGTATTAGTCTGTTTTCACACTGCTGATAAACACATACCTGAGACTGGGCAATTTACAAAAGAAAGAGGCTTACTGGACTTACAGTTTCACATGGCTGGGAAGCCTCACAATCATGGTGGAAGGCAAGAAGGAACAAGTCATGTCTTACATGGATGGCAGCAGGCAAAGAGAGAGCTTGTGGAGGCAAACTCCTGTTTTAACAACCATCAGATCTCCTGAGGCTTATTCAATATCATGAGAAGAGCATGGGAAAGACTCCCATCCATGATTCAATCACCTCCCACCAGGTTCCTCCCATGACACATAGGAATTATGGGAACTACAATTCAAGATGAATTTTGGTGGGGACACAGCCAAACCATATCAGTTGTTTTAAGATGCTAAATTTTGGGGGTAACTTATGCAGTAATAGATAACACACACTACTTTGCAAACACTAAATCATGGATCTAAGCAATGTTTATCAATGACTACTGAAATAATCAGGTGAAAAGCTGATGCTTAGAGCAAGGTAACAGTACCTGAATCTCTTAATAAATCCCCATATCACAAAAAAAGACAGACAAATGTTATGAGCCTACTGATGTGACACAAGAGAAATTACACAATACCCTTATGACATGGTCTTGCAGAAAGAGCAAAACAATCCTGAAACCGATCAATCTTCTAGATCTATTTCCAGGAAAAATGGGGAACAAAAGGACATGCTATATGACACCCAATGATATAATCAACAAAATGCACACTGAGGGAAACCCTCAATTGTTCTGCAGAACTAATAAAAAAGTTTCTTCGGCAAATAAACTGCTAGTAAACAAAGGAGAGGGGAGGAAAATTTAGAGATTGAAAGAGACTAGGGTGAGGTGGCTCATGCCTATAATCCCAGCACTTTAGGACGCCAAGGTGGGTGGATCACAAGGTCAGGATATCGAGACCATCCTGGCTAACACGGTGAAACCCCATCTTGACTAAAAAATATAAAAATTAGCTGGGCATGGTGATGTATGCCTGTAGTCCCAGCTACTCGGGAGGCTAAGGCAGGAGAATTGCTCGAACCCAGGAGAGAGAGGTTGCAGTGAGCTGAGACTGCGCCACTGAACTCCAGCCTGGCACCTCGTGACAGAGCAAGACTCTGTCTCAAAATAAATAAATAAAAATAAAAGAGACTAAAGGGATATATTAACCAAGTGCAACATGGGGGCTTTGTCAAAAGCCTGATTCAAACAAATCAACTGTAAGAACAAAAAGGACATTTTTAAAGTAACTGAAGACGTTTGAACAATGACTGAATAATAGATGATATGAGGGAGTGTTTGTTGTGTTGGATGTGATGACAACATTATGGTAATGTGTTTTTTAATTACATTTTAAATCTTGAAGTAATTGCAGATTCACATACAATTACAAGACACAATTCAGAAGGATCCAGTGTATCCTTTATCCAATTTCCTCCAATTGTGAGATCTTGCAAAACTATAGTGCAGTATCACAGTGGCACTGATACATTCAAGGTCCAGAACAATTTCATCATCCCAGAGATTCTTCCTGTTGCTCTTTAAACACACACACACACACACACACATTAAAAAATAATAGAGATGGGGTGTTGCCAAGGCTGGTCTTGAACTCCTGAGCTTGAGCAATCCTCCCTCCTCGACCTCCCAAAGCGTTGCGAGAACAGGCATGAGCCACCGAACCAGGTCCCTGCTGCTTTTTTGTAACAACATTCATCCCCTTCTGCCCTCCCCTCTTGACTCATTAATGTGTTCTCCACTTCTATAATCTTTGTCATTTCAGGAATGTTGTATAAATGGAATTAGCCCCGGCACAGTGGCTCATGCCTATAATCCCAGCACTTTGGGAGGCTGAGGCAGGGGATCACCTGAGGTCAGGAGTTTGAGACCAGACTAGTCAACATGGTGAAACACTGTCTCTACTAAAAATACAAAAAGTAGCCAGGGGTGGTGATGCATGCCTGTTGTAATCCCAGCTACTGGGAGGCTGAGACAGGAGAATCGCTTGAACCCTGGAGGTGGAGGTTGCAGTGAGCCAAGATAGCACCATTGTGTTCCAGCCTGGGCAACAAAAGTGAAACTTTGTCTCAAAAAAAATGAATAAGAGAAAATGGAGTTATACAGTTGTACTGTGTAGTCTTTGAGTGAAGCTACTTGCTATTGTCACGTGTAGCTATGAATTACTCTAATAATGCTGCACTGCACACTGTATCCCACACCCTATAACTTAACAACTAATCAATGTTATTTCTGCAAACTGGGGAGAATTCCTGACAAACAACTTTGTATCAGCTCACTCCCTTTCCCCCTTTGCCTTTAAAAACCTGATTGAAACAAAGGCCAAATGGAGATCATATCCAAGGTTACCTGCGTGTGAGTCTTCCAGGCAGCTGTCTTAACTTTGGCTAAAGTAAACTCTTTAAATTACATTTTGTGCCTCAGCCTCTTCCTTTTAGGTCAGCACTGTCTAACCATTCACCCATTTGGGTTGGCCCACTTTTTTTTGGCTATTCTAAAGATACAGAAAAAAACAACTTACTTTATCCTATCATACATCCAACTATACTCAACACAGTACTTCACCTCTGGTCACCAAGAAGTGCGTGGGGATTTCTCCCCACAAAGAAATTCTCTGGCAGATTCTTCAATGGACACCAGCTTGGTGTCCTCTACCGCAATTCAGTTCTGACAGTATCTACCTAGAGATAACTTCAGATTCCATAGCTTGGGGGCTCAGTCCCACAAGACTGACTCACACTTCGGATGCTAATCACGAGCACAAGTTGTTGCCCTAGAGGACAGAAGGCAACAACAACAAGAAAAATCAGAGACCAAGGTGGGTGAAATGAATATTGTTGCTACAGTCAGTTATGAGTGATGACAAGGGCTAGGGCAGTGCTACCCAGAGTGTGGTCTGTGGACTGGAAACAGCGATGGGCTGTTTGTTACCAGTGAAATAAGTACAGAGATTGAGGATAAGCATGGAGAAACTATTATAGCAAATTAAAATAGCAGTATTATGTGTTCTAATAATTTAAAATAAGGCTTTTGTTCTCTATTACTTTTCCATGTATTTTTCTCAGAATTCATTTTTATTATTTTCCGTATGAACTGGTCTGTGATGAATTGGACATCTTTAGGAAGGAGTCCTTCCCTACGGACAGCTTGGGAGACATTGCCACACACAGGGAGGCGGTGAGGGCAGTGGGAGCCATGTTTGTGTTCAGTGCCCTGGGGGAAGCAGGTGCTAAGGAGGCAAGAGGGAGGCAGAGCTCTGGTGCTTTAAGATCGTGATTATCAGCTGCTTCCAAAGACTTGGAGGCTTCCTGTCCATCAGCCTCCAAGTTGGCATGAGAATCACCAACCTTGCACCCAGTTGTCACTAAGGACGGCCTCCTGTGCTTTCCCTGGGCAACACTGCTCCTGACGGCCTGACTTCTGTCAGGAGCTTGGCAATAGAAACCCAATGTGTGCAAGCCCCCTTTGGCCCCTGGCAGCTGAATGAAAGAGCATGGGCTCAGACACAACTGTCTTCCAAGAGAGTGCCCAGATTCTTCAGGAAGGTGAAGCCCATACCCTTCCGATTCCAAGCTCAGGAGACAGGAATGATGCCAGGGCTGTGGAGTGGGACATCTGGCTCTGCACATGAGGACAGCCTTGGGCTGCAATTTCTGATTTGCATGTAAAGGCAGCAGCATATGGCCACTGTCAGTCCTCACAGGGACCATAGGCACTATTGGGGCAGGGAGTGGGGAAGGAGGAGGTACTCACACTGAAGTCTTTCCCCAGGTAGAGAAGGAGAGAAAGAGCAGGGCACAAATCCCAGGGTCCCTGTGGTGAGGGGAATCACTGAGACTCATATGACCTGGTCAGACATTTATTGGGGCAGTGGAACCTGTTCTCCATGCCCCAGGCCTTTCAGATTGATAGGATTTCAATGTGGAACTCTGGATGCTTTGAAGGGATTGCACACTGGACCTGTAAAAAACCATCAGTCTGGAAGGCAAGGCTCCCCTCTGGAACCTGGAACAGGCAGAGAGCGTTGCACATTTGGCAGTAACGTTGCCGGCACTGCCACATGCGGATGCAGGCCTGGAGCTTGACAGCTGCTTGCTCCTGGATGACATAGGTCCTCAACAGGGCCTGCTGCCGCTGACGGATCCGCCTCTGCACCAACGTCCTCCACCAGCACTGAATCATCCAGGCCCTGAGGGCAGCGACCAGCAGGGTCCTGCGCACCAGGACCCCACGCCACCAGGCCTGGATCTGCCCAGCCGCCTTCACCCTTTTTTTGTGACACAGTTGTGCAAGAAGCAGCTAGCCAAACAAAGCAGAGGACTCCAGTGAATTTGTCAACATCAAACATAGGTCGTTCTCTAAAGAATCAGCTCTCCCCCTGCTGGTTCTGAGGACCCAGGAGACCCGGGTGGGGTTTGTCCTCTACTTCTTTCCTGTCCATGGCTCTGGGCACATCTGTCCACTCTCAGAGTCGCAGTGCCCTCATCTATGAAACTGGGATATGTTTGATCTGTGGACTTCTCGGGTTCATAGGTCTAGGGGAGACACTTTCTGGTCCAGAAGACAAGGGTGTGAGAAACTGAAAGATCTTTATGAGAATCAGTGAACCTCCGCATATATGGTCTGTGTCCTGGTCTAAACTCCAGCCCACGATGCTGCCTCCTGATGTCTTGTGTGGTGCTGCAGCCCTTTGGGGTTTCCCCTCACCTCACTTCTGCGGACTTCCACTACCATGTCTCAGAGCCTCCTCATCCTCCTGGGCCTTTCCACTTCCTGTGCTGAGCCCCACCCGCCAGGTGGCTGTGCACACGCTGCTTCCTCCTCTCTCTACCGTCTGTCTCCATACCTTACTCAATTCACCCAGGAGAGGCAGGGCTTGAGAGAATAAGAGGGCAATGCTGAGCCAGCCCCTATGGGACCAGAGATGGAGCTCCATTTCTAAGAACTCTGGGGTCAAAGAGTCAATGATCTGTGGTTCCCTCACCCTCCTGGGCCCCACTTACCTTCCGCTGCCTCTCTCTCTCTAGTGCATCTTCATCTGGACCAAATTTCTGTAATCAGAATGTGGGTGTAGGGGAGCATGGGTGAGGACCAGCCCGGCTGCAAAGTCCCCACAGCCCCAGTTCCCCATTCTTTGCCTGTGTCCTAAGAAGTGGCCTGGTGCTTCCCTGGGCCATGGGACAACTCCCCACCCCTGGGGGAGTGTGTGTCTTACACAGCATTGACTGCCCATGGTTTTGGAGCAGTGGTTCAGGTGATCATCTCCCTCTGGTTGCTGCTCCCTGACCTTGGCAGGGGCAGGAAGGGTGGAAAAAGAGATGGCCATGATGTCACAAGGGCAACTGTGACCAGGGGCCAGGGTGCCTTTTCCAGGCTCAAAGTTGATTGATAAAGAGCAAATACCTGCTCTCCTGTTGAATTCCTCGGGCAACTCTGTTGAATAAAAATTCTGCGAATATCCTTTCCCAGATCGTCATCCGCCTGCTAACTTTTTTCATGGTTGTCTTTCCTTCCACAGTGATCTTTAATTTTGGCATGCTGGAATCCATTGCCCCTTTGCAATTCTGCTTTTGTAGTTTTCTAAGGAAGTGCTTTTCCGTCCAAGATCATAGGTTTTTCTGAGATTCTGGTCTACCTTTTACATTAAGGTGTTTTAACATTTAATGTAGATGTGTTTATGAGACATTTACAATTAGAAATGACAATGGGGATGTTACCACTGACCCCACAGAAATAAAAATAACCATCAGAGACTACTATGAATGCCCGTATGCATACAAACTTGAAAACCTAGAAGAGGTGGATAAATTCCTAAACACATACACCCTCCCAAGATTGAAACAGGAAGAAACTGATTCTCTGAACAGACTAATAATGAGGTCTGAAATGGAATTAGTAGTAAATAGCTTACCAACCAAATAAAGCACAGGACAAGAAGGATCCACAGCTGAATTCTATAAGATGTAAAACGAAGAGCGTGTGGCATTCCTACGGAAACAATTCCCAAAAAATTGAGGGAGAGAGACTCCTCCCCAGCTCATTCTATGAGGTCAGCATCATCCTGATAACAAAACCTGGCAACAACAAAACTTTAGGTTAATATCCTTGACAAACATTGATGCAAAAATCATCAACAAAGTACTTGCAAACTGAATCTAACAGCCCATCAAAAAGCTAACCCACCATGATCAAGTAGACTTCATCCCTGCAATGTAAGGTTGGTTCAACATAAGCAAATCAATAAAATGTAATTCATCACATAAACATAGCTACAGATAAAAACTGCATGATTATCTTAATAGATGCAGGAAAGGCTTTCAATAAAATTCAAGATCTCTTCGTGTTAAAAACTCTCAATAAACTAGGTACTGAAGGGACATACTTCAAAATAAGAGCCATGTATGATAAACCCACAGCCAACATCATACTGAATGGACAAAAGCTGAAAGCATTCTCCGTGAAAACTGGCACAAGACAAGGATGCCCTCTCTCACCACTCCTATTCAACATGGTACTGGAAGTCTTGGCTGGATTAATCAGCCAAGAGAAAGAAATAAAGGGCATCCAAATGGGAAGAGAGAAGATCAAACTATCCCTGTGGGCAAATGAGATGATCCTATATCTAGAAAAAGCCATAGTCTTGGCCCAAAAGCTCCTTCAGCTGATAAATAACTTCAGCAATGTCTTAGGATACAAAATCAACATAAAAAAGTACTTGCATTCCTATACACTAACAACACTCAAGCTGAGAGCCAAATCATTCACAATCTCATTCACAATTGCCACAAAAAGAATAAAACCTAGGAATACAGCTAACAAGGGAGGTGAAAGATCCCTACAGTGAGAATTACAAAACACTGCTCAAAGAAATCAGAAATGACACAAACAAGTGGGAAAACATCTCATGCTCACGAATAGGGAGAAATCAGTATGATTAAAATGGTCTTCTGCCAAAAACAATTTAAAGGTTCATTATTATTCCTAGCAAACTACCAATGACATTCTTCACAGGACTAGAAAGAACTATTTTAAAATTCATATGGAACCAAAACAGAGCTCCAACAGCCAAGGCAATCCTAATCAAAAACAACAAAGCCGGAGGCACCACATTACACAACTCCAAGCTGTACTGCAGGACCACAGTAACCACAACAGCGTGGGAGGAGGGCAGAAACAGACATGTAGACCAATGGAACAGAATAGTGAGCCCAGAAAAAAGGCCACACACCTAAAAGCATCTGATCTTTGAGAAAGCTGATGAAAACAAGCAATGGGGAAAGGACTCCCTATTCAATAAATGGTGCTGGGATAACTGGCAAGCCATATGCAGAAGATCGAAGCTGGACCCTTTCCTTATACTGTATACAAAAATCATCTCAAGATGGATTAAAGACTTAAACGTAAACCACAAACTATAAAAACTCTGGGAGACAACCTAGGCAATACCGTTCTAGACATAGGAATAGGCAAAGATTTCATGATGAAGACCCTGAAAGCAATCGCAACAAAAGCAAAAATTGACAAATGGCATCTAATTAAATTAAAGAGCTTCTGTACAGCAAGAAAAACTATCAACAGAGTAAACGGGCACCTATATTATGGGATTAAAGATTTGCAAACTATGCATCTTGCAAATGTCTAATATCCAGTATGTATAAGAAACAAACAAATTTACAAGAAAAAACAAACAACCCAATTGAAAAGTGGGCAAGGGACACGAACAGACACTTCTCAAAAGAAGACATACATGTGGCCAACAAAATGTGACAAAAAGATCAATATCACTGATCATTAGAGAAAAGCAAATCAAAGCCACAGTTAGATACCATTTTACACCAGTCAGACTGGCTACTATTAAAAAAAAACAGATGCTGGTAAGGTTGTGGAGAAAAGGGAACACTTATACATTCTTGGTGGGAGTGTAAATTAGTTTAACTATTATGGAAAGCAGTGTGGTGATTCCTCAAAGAGCTAAAATGAGAACTACCATTCAACCCAACAATCCCATTGCCGCCCATCACTGGTATATACCCAGAGGAAAATAAGTCATTTTACCATAAAGACACATGCATACAAATATTCACTGCTATTTACAATAGAAAAGACATGGAATCAACCTAAATGCCCAGCAATGACAGACTGGATAAAGAAAATGTGCTACATATACACCATGGAGTACTATGCAGCCATATAAAAGAATGAGCCCATGGCTTTTGCGGGAACATGGACAGAGTTGGAAGCCATTATCCTTAGTAAACCAATGCAAGAACAGAAAACCAAGTACTGCATGTTCTCACTTAGAAGTGGGAACTAAATAATGATAACTGACAGACACAAAGGGGAACAACAGACGCTGGGAACTGCTTGAGGGTGGAGGGTGGGAGGAGGGAGAGGAGAAGAAAAGTAACTCGTGAGTACTAGACTTAGTACCTGGGTGATGAAATAATTTGTACAACAAACTCCTGTGACATGAGTTTACCTATATAACAAACCTGCACATGTACCCCTGAACCTAAAATAAAAGTTAAAAACCCAAATCAAAAACCAACAACAAAAAAGAACTTCATGTACATTGTTTAAAAAAACCTTATAATTACAAATTAATTATAAAAATTATGAATTATAATCTAGCATTTATAAAAATTATAGACATATTATGATTATAATTATGAAAGTTATAATTATAAATAAAAAAGAACAGTATGCATTTCCTGCCTTATTCGCTCCCAAAAGACTCTCCCATCGCTGAGACAACTATTTTTAACTCTTCAGTATATTTCTCCTATGATTTACCTCTATAACATGCTATATGGAAAATTCTTTATTTTCTCTTTTAGATATTACTCTTGACTTCTTTTCATGAAGTGAAAATTTACCTGTTCCCATCCTCTGCTCTTCTCTCAATATGATTATAGCATCTTAGTTTTTGGTTCAGTAAGTATTCAGTGCTTCTATCACTGATCACATGGACATCCTGTCCATGCTTAGCAACATGGCATATTGCTATGACAGCCTTTTATGCATTTCCTGTCCACTTTTCCTGGAGCTATTGGTTGCCATGGTTTGTAGTGATTTATCCCCAGCTTTCCACCCAAACTCCGATAATCAGTCAACTTTGCTTTTTTCATGGAGCCCTGCACCACTCTGTAATCTGGGTAGCTCTTCTAACCTGCTGCTTGGTCATTCTTCTGGGGTACCCTCTCACCAGCATCCTAGGAATTCCCTTCCCCTCTCCCCTGTGAGGACTCTCCTACCTACTAGATCCCACGTGTAGCAGGCAGTTTTACTGGGGATGCAGAATCACTCTGGATGCTACGGGGTAAGGAATTCACTATAGGAAATAGAACTTAGGCGATTGTGTGAGCAGCTGGGAAAAAGAGGGCATTACATTCTAGATAGAAAATTTTTTTTTCCTTTTTCTTTTCTTTCTTTCTTTCTTTCTTTCTTTCTTTCTTTCTTTCTTTCTTTCTTTCTTTCTTTCTTTCTTTCTTCTTTCTTTTCTTTTCTTTTTCAATTTGAGAGAGGATCTCTCTCTGTCACCCAGGCTGGAGTGCTGGGGCACAATCATAGCTCACTGGAACCTCAACCTCCCAGCTCAGTGAACTCAAGCAATTCTCTCACCTTGGCCTCTGGAGTAGCTGGGACTACAGGCACGTGCCACTGTGCCTGGCTAGCTTTTTGTAGAGATGGGGTTTCACCATGTTGCCCAGGCTTGAAAATTATTTTTCCCTCAAAATATTGAGGAATTGGTTCCACCTTCTGTTAGAGGTTTGGATCTGTGTCCCCGCCCAAATCTCATGTTGAATTGTAATCCCCAGTGTTGGAGACAGGGCGTGCTGGGAGGTGATGGGATCATGGGAGCATTTCTCAAGGTATAACACCATCCCCCTTGGTGCTGTCATGTCAGTAGTGAGTAAGTGAGTTGTCGTGAGATCTGGTTGTTTAAAAGTGTGCGGCTCCTCTCCCTCCCTCCCTCCCTCTTCCTCCTGCTCATGTAAGATTTGCCTGCTTCCCCTTCACCTTCTGCAATGTTTCTAAGTTTCCAAGACCTCCTCAGAAGCAGCTATGCTTCCTGGACAGCCTGCAGAACCGTGAGCCAATTAAACCTCTTTTCTTTATAAATTACCTAGTCTCAGATATTTCTTTATCTTTTTTTAAGGTATTTCTTTATAGCAGTGCAAGAACTGATAATATCTTTTATGATAAAAGATAATACAATATCTTTTATCCCTCTGATTCCTTTGTTTGTGGAATGTGACCTATTTTTTTTCCTCTGGAAGCTTTTAGGATCTTCTTTTTCCCTGATGTTCTGAAACTACAAGACGGTATACCTAGAGATGTGTTTCAGTTTTAATAACCATTCATTGTGTTGGGCACTGGTTAGGCTTTTAATTTAAAAATTCATGTCATTTACTGGGAAACTTTGTTGTATTTGTTTTTCGATAATTCCTACCCCTCAATTTTTTTAGTTTTGTACATTTAAAAATCCTATTCGTCAACTCATGGATTGATCCTCTAAGTTTCTAATATTTTTCACACTATACTCCGCCTTTTTGTGTCAGTTTCTCCCTGTAAGGAGATGGAACATGTCTTCCTGTGCCTTGAGTTTGACTATATGACTCGCTTTGGCCAATGGAATAGAGTAGCACAACAGTGTGCAAGTTCTGGGCTGGGCTTTAAGAGGCTTGCCCATTTATGTTTGCCATCTTATAGTTTTTAATCTACTTTCTGGTAGATTTTCTTTCTTTTTTTTTTTAAGATCTCTTATTGTTACATTAATCCTTTTACCCTTGCATCCTTCTAGCTTTGAAATCTATTTTATTAACTGTGAGAATTGCAACTCCTGCTTTTTATTTATTTATTTTTGCTCTCCATTTGGTTGGTGAGTTTTTTTCCATCCCCTTGTTTTGAGTCTTTGTATATCTTTAGATATATCGTTAGATTTTGTGGATAATGTATATTTTGTGTGTTTAAAATGGAGAGCTCTATTGAGTTTATTTGTTCTGGATCTTAGTTCCAGTCCTGGATATCGTTATCAATTTTCTGTCTTGTTGAATCTAAATCTCATTATGGG